TTTCACATTTCTTTGGCACTTACTGATGGGCCAATGGGTTCCTTGTTCATTGCTTACTAGATTTTTTAGGAGAAATCATTGATTTTGTCTCAATTCATGTCTGATTTGGCCCAACAGTGAGAATTTTATTAGTCACTTTCATGAGAGCAGGAACAGATAGATAAATTAAAATCTTGACTTAAGAGGAAAGAAAATCCTTCGTTTTGGCAAATACTCTTTTTTTGCTTTAAAGTGAGGTATTTAAATAATATTTTTTAAGTCTGCTTCCATAAACCCTTATAAACATACATGTTCTACCATTTTGTGGTGGTTTTTATAACAGAAGGAGTCATAATTTTAATTTAAAAAAATATTCAAGACAAACTTTCCACAGTCCCTTCAAGGAGAAAGACAAATTGCTTTTCCCCTTACATTCTTGCAGTTTGATTCTGTTCCTCACTGTGCTGGCATGATAAGTAATGCCACGTGGATCATTTAAGGTTAGATGGTAGCTGGCTCATCTGTGGGCTACTCACTGTGGTGTGAGCTGAAGGTGAGGCAAGACCAGCTCAGAGCTCAGAGGAGCGTAGGGCGGGCGCTGAAAAACTCCCATGGTGAGTGCGGGGCTGCCAGGCAGCCAGAAAAGGGACTGAGTGGCATGTAAAAAGCCCTCTACCACATTTTCTCATTGCTGACAAGGAATGCAAGGGGGGACGCTGCGTGGATTACAGTAAGTCTATGAGGGGCAAAGAAATGTGGCTGCTCCCTCCATGCAGGGTCCCTCCCCTGCACAAGTCATATAAACTTGGTATTATTAGCAGAACCTAGTCTCTAGAATGGAGTTTCTAAACCCTTTCACAGAAAATCTCTTTCAAAGTGTTCTAACTACCTATTGATCAACTGCCAGAAAATGACAACTTGCTATCACTGCTGCTAACTAAAGGTGAAGGTAGGGGATATGGTATATTGATTCTTTGGTGTTTATTCTACTATGAAGAACAAAAAGCCAGAAATGTGTGAGGTGGGGAATTGATTATTCAATGTTTATCCTGATATAAGGAACAAACCACCAGCAGCTGAAGTGGGCAGGGACCAGGCTCAAAGCACGCGAAAGTAGGATCTTCATTTCAATTCAATGTGGCTGGGAGGTGGAACAGAGGATGCTGTGGGTGCTAGGGTCTTACATGTGTTCAAGGGTTGGTGGAACAAGCTTATAGAAGAGAATGTGTTAAGGGTTGCTAAATACATCTGCCTCAGGCAGATGGTGACCTGTAAATGCTGGATGATGGGAGACTTTGGGGGGCACATACCATATGAGTTTCCTATGTTCTCTTCAGCTGCTGTCAGAGGCAGAATTCTGAATAAGGTTGATCTTTCCTTTGACCTGATATAGATTTTTTTGTTGTTGTTTTTTTGTTCTTATTAGGCACATCCATTTTATAAATAGTAATGCTATCTCACTGCTTCCTACTTTGGCTCCTCTATTATCTCATCCATCAGCTATTTCTTGTCTTTCTGACTGCCAGCAAAGATGAACATTCTTGTTGTGTTCAGATAGTACCTTGCACTGTTGGGGTCACTTGGTGCGAGCAAGTGCTTCCACAATATAGCCATTATTAGGAAATAGTATAGAAACATGGGGGATTGTAGGTTTCTTTCCTTTTGTTGCCCTCTGTGTTTTGTTATGACTGTCATTTGGCTTCTGTAACCCAAATCAAATTGGTCAACCCTTTTTGTTAAGAATTAAATGTTCCCAGCAATGTAGAGATCTTCTCAATGTCTCCCTTTGCCATGTACTAAGCAACTTCAAGGGCTGTATAATCAGAACTTCTTAGTAAAAAGAAGTTCTTGATTTCCCCCCCTTTCTATTAATGTAAATAATTTGGGGGTTTTTTGTTTGGTTTTTTTTTTGGGGGGGGGGTTGGGGGGTTTTTGGGGTTGGGTTTTTTTTTTGGTTAGACTGGGGCTTGGACTACAGAATTTTTCAAGAAGAATCATCCTTTCAGGCTTACTGGGAAATTGGGTCGTAACTTTCTGTCATTTACTGGCTAAGTGTTCACAAGCGCCATCTATCCTGTATCATAATATTTGAAGAAGTCAGTGAAACCTACAAGCCCAGGTTGCCAGCTATAAAACAACAGTGCTCTAGCAAGACTGTAAAGTTGGACAGGGAGAAACATAATACAAGGTAGCCTGAAAACATGGGAAGTAGAACTTGAAAGCAATGCAATTGAGAATCAACCATAAACAAGGTGGTTGTACTGGCAAACTCTGACCACATATTTGCAGTGCAACTTGCACCTCTTAAACAGGGCAAGTTTGGTCTAAATTGAATTCCTGTTTGATTAGGAAAAAAATTATCTCATGGTGCTAACTACTGATGAAGAACTGACAATATTTTCAGGACATTTGCAATTTTGAGAACAGCCATGTCTACGAGACACAGTTCAAAAAAATACTCAGAAGATGCTAATTAGCACTATATTTTTTTAATATAAAATCATAGGATATCCTGAGTTGGAAGAGACGCACAAGGATCATCAAGGTCTTGCTCTTATACTTGCATAAACTGAGATCTAACCTTTTGTAAGCAAAAGTTTTGTTAGAAAGAAATAATGGATACATAATGTTTCTGTGTGGATACTTAAATGAAAAAAGGATTTTGGAAAGTATATATTATTGTGCAAATAAGGGATGTTCCCTAGGACCCAGAAGTAATGGGTTTCATCAATCCTTTCCATAGACTTGCATACCAGCTTGACAGACAGATTGTTTGGATTTTAAGCACTCAGACAAGCAAAAATGCTCAAAAGGGGAAAATCACTGGAATTTCAGATTTAGATAATCTCATCAATCAATCTGTTTTCTCAGCTGGGTAAATTTTCTGTTAATTTAGGGAAAGAATAACAAAATCCTTTTCCACTACATCTTCTGAAATACTTACAGAAATTTACATCCATACATCTCCCAGTCTTCCTCAGAGGAGATGATATACACAGGGTGTGTGATGGCAGGAGTTTGCTGATGCACGTAACACATCGCTCCCTTCCCTTAATGTCAAGTGTTCATTTAATTAACTTGCTTAGGTGACTGTATTTTGCTACCAGTTATTTTCAGTAATGAAGTGAAATGCTCTGTTAGTGTAAAACACAAGTAAAGTTGAAACTAAAATGTGTCTTCCCATTTGTAGTAGGAGGCAAATACAATAGAGCTGCCAAGATAGGGGCTGACTCATTACAATCCCAGACACTGTATAGAGGAATACATCACATTTCCTGTCATAAGTCCTCTGAAAGTGCTACTAACTCCAGCTTTGGATGGGTGTGCTGGAAGTTTCTTGTCTTACTGTGTAGACAATAGCGCAGCCCTTAGTTTGTGCACACAGGGTGCTTGGCTTGTGTGCAATACACTGAACTTGTAGAGGAGTGAGAACATTTAGAAGTAACATCACCTTTCTACCACTGCAAGTTACCACAGCCTCATATCTTCTCCTCATGGCCAGGGCAGTGGCTCGGTGTCAAGGCATCTCCAGGGGAATTTTGCCTCCCAGCTGCCTTTTCTAATATGTGAGGACATGACTGGGTTTCTGTGCTCGCCACAAGTGCTTCCTCCAATGTAAACTGCATATTAAAAATATGCTCATAGATACTTCAAAATGTGCCAAGCCTATGGTCAGTGTGGGTTGCTGGGAGCTTTTTGTTTGTTTGTTTCTTTTTACTTTAGAAAACCATGGGGCCTTAAGGAGGATGTCTTTCAGCATTGCTTTCAGAGCACCCTTTCTTCCTTCTTAACTCTGCCACTAAAAATTCTCTTTGAGCTGATGCTTTGGTGCTGAAAGCTAGGCCTGAGGGTTCATTTTTCAATGTGTGAATTTCAGAAAACTGACTATCAAAAAGATGTGGTTTTGAACCTTTGTGAGATTTTGTTTTTCTGAAGAAAACTACACACATTTGCACTGTCTGTCTGCTGTAGGACCAGTGATGGTGAAGAAATTGTGCGGTCAAACCTATGTGCCCATTAGCCCTGTCCTATTAAATTTTGAGCTGGTTGTTCAGTTCAGACAATTTCTTGGGAAGGTATAGACAAAGACCTTGGAAATACTGACTTTCTGCAATTGACATGAAAATAGGTGGCCAGTCAGAGGGGGGAGATCTTACACCCTTGTCATGAGGTGGACATCAGTAAGCCCATGTAGGTGTCCCTCCCTAGGCCAAAAATCCATAGGAGACTGGATGTTATTGCCTCTGCTGCTTATGGAGCTGCTTTGTTTTAATGTGTACTTCTTGGGAAACCAGTAAGAGAATTGTGATTTCTTTTTTTACCCCCTTCTCAGAACACACTGCAAGATCAGGCAGAAGCTCTTTATATCTGGTCCTTTTGTAGAAGACAGTTATCAGTCAGATGCATATGTGATGATCATACTGATGTATCTGTGACACCCCTAAAACATCTTTCTGAGCCCTTAAACAAATTTGTTGTAGCAGTAGTATCTATCTATCTATCTGGAGTATTTGTAGCTGTATCTAGATGTATCCATTGGATTTCAGCTTCCTGCTCATTTGAGGATGCAGGAGGAGAAACCAAGCCATCAAGATTTTAGAGTATTTTACTCCTTTGTGTGGAAGACAGGTTTGGGTTAACAGAAAGTCAATTTCTTTTTGGTAAATGACACAAATGTTGAATGAAAATGATCGCTTGAAGAATTTGTAAACTTATCTTTCATGTTTCTCAGGGCTGCTGATATTGCTTGGGGAAAGTGAATCTGAAGCTCTTCTCAACTCAATGGGTCTTCAGTTTCACCATCATGTTTCTTTTAAGGAGAGAAATACCCAAATCCATGATAAAGATTTGCTTAAAATAGTGAACAGGATGTTATTGATAGCAGATATCTCCGGCTTAGCAGCTCCAGCCCGTCCGGGCGAGGGGACAGCCCGGGGCGTGGCTCTCCCTGGGGAGGAACGGGGCGTGAGGCGAGGGGCCGGGGCTGAGGCCGGGCGGCGACGCTCGGGGCCGGCGGTTTCCCAGGCGATGGGTGGGGAGAGGAGGAGGAGGAGGAGGAAGAGGAGGAGGAGGGGTCCTCGCGGCTTTATCTCCCACCCGCTCCGCCCGCCGTCGGCTGTCTCCCGTGACCGCAGCGCACCGGCGGGCGCAGCGCGGGCAGGGCAGCGCCCATGGGCTGCGGCAACTCCACGGCCGGCAGCGCGGGCGGGCGAGGTAGGGCGGCGGGGCGGGGCGGGCCGGGCCGGGCTGGGCGAGCGGCGGAGCGAGCATCCCCGCCGTGCTGGGCAGCTCTGCGGGACTGCGGGGGGCGGCGGCGGGCACGCACCGCACTCGGCGGGGATACAGCCCCCGGCGCGGGGGATACCCGTCCGAGCCGCGGGAATCGCTGCCCGCCCTCTTGCAAGAGCATCTTCCTTTCCCGAGGCTGATCCGTTTGCTCAGGGCGAGAGGGTGATGTGGCCTGCCGCAGCCCCGGCGGCTTTCTGGTGCCTGCTTGTCGCTAGAGTCACCACAGAAGCTGCCCAAGGCACGGCGAACCCAGGCCGGGAGCTGGACGTAACGATCCCGCCAGGGGTGTCAGCTCCATCCTCCTCGCTTCCCTATAAGGCCACGAATGCCACTTCTGAAATGAATTTGTGCGACATCTTCGTCTTTTGCTTGTTGGAGAAGTTGGAGGATATTCCATGATTGAGGTTTCATGCATGTTAATGTGTACTGCTGGCTGGTGAGTCCAGCTGGCTCCCTTATTTGTTCATTGCTATTTTCAAAAGAGATAAGATCTGGGAAGATGGTGCTGTTGTGCTTTTCCTCCCCCCTGCCCCCGCAGAATAGGAAAGTACATGGAAACTGGTAAGTGGACCTTCACCCTGTAATTATAATATGAGCATTTCCCAATCGTTTTTCATCCTAGCTGCACTTGGCAAACATTGCCACCTGTTCCAGTACCTTTATCAAGTCTTTCAGATGCACTTGAGAGCTTTCAGCTCTTCAAAATATGCAAAATAATGGTTGGACAACTTAGAATTACTGGGTCCCCATCTCTTACTGTTTTGATTTGAATTAACCAGAGTTTCAGTAGTGCTTTGCGTGGTGCTAGTCCTTTCTTGGTCCTGCCTGTGAGCGTGAATGATGCTGTCTTCTTTAGGGAGTATGTGTGTATGCTTGTGGGTGCAATGCTGTTCAACTCTGCGCTCCACACTCAGAGGAGATGCTGTTCAACTCTGCACTCCACACTTGGAGGAGAATGTGATTCAGCCATTCCTTACTCGGTTTCTGTTAAATGATTATAACTTAGGTTTTAGATACTATGTCTGTCCATCAGAGGCCTCTCTCACCCATAAAGAACACATTGTGTGAATTTGCTTGAACATTCAGTGCTCTTACTGGAGCTGTCCCATTTGCATACATGAATTCTCTCCCTTCAGTTGATTCCCACATTGCTGTGACTGGAAGTTCCTTCTGTATATGACCAGTCTAGCTTCATACCACTGAGGTGATGCTTGTTCACATCCGATTTCTGTTTGCTGGATAAAAGCACCAGAGAAGTTCAGACTGTTCAGTCAATTATTAGTCCATTTGTGGTAGTTTCTAAGTTGATGTTGATTTGACTGTCCTGTGGAACTTGTACCAGAGTACAAATGGGTAAATGTCAAATAGACTAACTCTGACAGCCGTGTTTTTCTCTCAAAGTTTGTTTAAATGTGTCCCTTTGCATTAGAGGTAGTTGTCGTGAACAGGTTTTGGCCTGATACATTAAGTATTTTCACTGATGGTCTGACCCCTTTGATAGTTAAACTTACTTATATGTTTTACATATACATTTGAACTTGCATTTTTGTAAACTTTTAAATGCTCTTTAGAAACATTCCACAGATCTCTAAGGGCTTAGTGCAGGTAAAAACCAACAATGCCACGTAAACCCCATCTTTAGTATAATGGAATTATTACTATTGCATTGATAGACCTCTCCAAATCCAATGGAGCTCTGAAAGGTCCCCTTCACTTCTCACTTTTACCACTGTCAGTCAGGAATTACTCTGTGCAGTCTATGGTCTTAAAATAACAAACAGCTGGTAATAAAAGCAAGATGTCAGATGTCTACTATTTATTTACTTCATTTAACATTCCTTACAAAGTGAGTCTAATAAAAATAAAATTATTTTATAAAGGGGATATTCCATTTTTGCTTGGAATCCTTGAGCTTTTCAGGAAAATGCAACTCCTAATTTCACCAAAAGATGTGAAGACTGTGTAAATACAAATAAATTTTGTGGCATGCGTAGCATGACTACATTTTTAATGCTAAAGTTATGACTATTCTGTAATCGGTAATGTCAAAGCTAGAGGTACGTAACATGTAATTAACCTGTAACACTCTCTGTCATATCAGATGACTAAGTAAAATATTGAAGTATACAGAACACATTAAATGTGTTAACACCGATCACCATTTTCTTACTCTGATAAAATTCCTATTGTAGCCTAATTTGATTTTTTTCTGAGCAGATGTATATATAGTGATAGTTCAGCTAATGATATTATCTTCTGTTGCATGGCTAGAATGACATCAGACCTTTCAGCTCTATGGTCTGTGAGATCTAAACTAATAGACATGATGTAGAATAACATTTCTGTCTGTGGTGCAGTACTTCAGAACACCAATATAACTCACAGCATTCAAATGTTCTTTCCAGAGTATCAGACAGTGGCAAAATCTCTTCAATTGAGAAATGGCAATTTCAGTTATCCAAGTAAACTGATGTATATACATCCTTCTTAAATTACCTAGCTATTTTATGTATTAACTATGGATTATAGTTATGTATGTCTCAACTTGTTGTTTTCCTTATGTTTTGTTGTCTCATTTTACATATCCTTCTTTCATGTTATTTCCTAGAGTTTTAGAAGCTCAACAATAGCTCTTTTTTTTGTGTACGTCTTTTTAAAATATGCTCTTATACATTCATTCCTTTTTTTTTTTTCCTGAGTTAAGGTGTTTCCCTTGATTCTAATGATTCTTCACTAAAAATTTTTAACTGCCTCCTCCTTTCCATATCTAGTATAGTAGCAATGACAGCACCTTAAATTATAGTACTCTTTGGAGGCTGTCAGTCTAGCCTTAATTTAAATATATAGAGAAGCTCTTTGTCTGTGGAAAGCTTCAAGTACAGTCAAGTTATGATGAAGGAGATCTTTCACACCAAGTTTTAACATATTTATTAACTTCAAGTTTGGTGCAATGCCCAGGAAGTCATCATGCCATTCTATTGATTGGGTCTAATCTGTGTACCGAACTCCCACCTGATGAGCTGAAGAAATAATTGACATGAAGCAAATTGATGATATTCTGTCATCAGTTACAATGGGGATATAAATAAAATTAATTCATGGATGTTAGAATGCACTTCCTTACTGCTGACTGTTGGAGCCTGCAATAGAAAGAAGCCTGCAATAGAAAACTCATTCTTAATAATTGCATGTATGTGTGTGTAATTTGGAGGGGTTTTATTTGCTTTTTGTAACAATTTGGTGTGCAAGAAAATGTCATAGAACATCGTTCATTAAAAAGTATTAGAAAAATGTTTCATAATCAAAAGTCAAGTCCTGGCATTTTTTGTATCCATTTTATTTATGTGAGGGGTTGCATCTCATGCTTTTTATACTTTTCTGAAGCTTTTGCCTCTCACCTTCACTCATGATGCATTTCTCAGCACAGAAGAGTATCCTCAGTGGCTACAAATGTCTCTCAACCATCTTTTGCATTAGGCCTGCATTTACCAAAATCCTGTAGTATCACCAAGAGAAGCTGCTGTTGTTCTGAAAGAGCAAAACCCCCTCTCACCTAGTGGAAGATGCTTTGGGATAAATTCATCTTCTTTTTTACTTGTTGATGTTTAAATGCTGTGGGGTTTTTCTGAGGGATCACAGCTCCACTCTTCTACACAGAATGTTTTTCTTCTGTAATCAGTGGGGCTCAGAGCAATGTGTGGCTGAATGGAACACGATTATTTGCAGGCTGTACTCTTTCTTCTCCTTCTGCAGCTCTAAAATACCAAAATGCAGCCGTGATTCTACTGTGTAAATGGTATGAGCAGAGAGGTCATTCAGGACAATTCATTATTTCCTATTTTTTATGGATGTGACTTTGTAGCTACTCTTCAGTGTCTTGCTGAGGTTCGGTTAGAAAAACCAAGCAAGCAAGAGCCTATCAAGACAAGGCTTATGGGGTCAAGTGCTGCCTTTTCTTAGGCCAAGCTCTTATAGTGGGAAAAAATGGACAAACTTTATATATGTGAGCCTTTTCTCAAGTCATTTATGGAAACCATCATATCTATGAGAGCAGTAGGCCTTGCTGCTATGGAGCGAGCTGTAGAGTGTTTGTGGATTGGGAGTAAACAAGATTCTTTGGCTGAACTTCTGACAGAAGGAATTTGGGCAGCAATAAAATTGTGTTGCTCACTAAACGTGCAAGAGTTAGACAAATATGTTGGTGAAGTAACAGAGTGAGGGTGAATGGATTGGACTTCACAAATAAACATGTCCGTATGAACTGAGATTGTTTTGGTTCCTTGAGAAATAATATCTATGTGTAAGGAATGTTCAGGCTCCTGAATGAACAAAAATTTAGAAGTTTTTACATTGAGATTTTTTTATAGTACACCTAGCTAAAATTATGTTCATTTGCAAGCTCAGAACTCTTGCAGGAAGAAAACTCCTTTGGTAACTGGAAACACTCTCAGATCTGTTGTCAGGTACCTCAGTGATACTTGAATGAATTTTAACCAAACACTTGTTTCACTTTTGCTGGTGAAAATGAGAAATAAACCCCACTGAAATTAATGGAATTCCATCAATGAAGGTGAGGATAAACTGGTTTGCTGTGCTTATAAAAAAGTAGAAAACAATGTTTTTCTTTTTATATGTATTTTTAAATTTATTGTAAAAGTAAAACTGATTTCTTAAAAAGTGAATTTGTTTTGATCATACTCAGTTCTCAAAGTTTTTGTGTGAAATACATTTCAAAACACTGCAGTGATTTTTCAGCAGTGTACCCTTGCTAATATTCCAAGAAAACAAGTGCTGCAGTGTGTGAATGTTAGTGGCATATTTCCAAACATGGAATTTTATAGCTCTTATCAAAGCCCGGGCTGATGGGTTTGAGTGACATCTCCCATCTCCAGAGTGAGGATGTATTTGTACCATAATGCATTGAAGGCAGGCATGGCACTGAACATGGACGTGGCACTGAAGTACGCCCAGTGATTGACTGGAACTTGATTATCTCCTCTGGGGAGTGTAGCAGTGCTGCTGTTGGCACACAATTTTTTTCCCTTGGCTTGAGGTTTCAGTTTGGGGATTAAACACTGTACTTTTGCTGTACTTCCTGCAAGCAAGACAAATTTTTGAGATCGGCATCCAAGGTGCTTACACTCAGAAGAGTCTTGGCAAAGGCCTCTGAAAGGGCTGTGAACCTTTTAGAGAAACTGATTTTGATCACAGAGAGTTTAGACTAAAACATAGGAAAGTTATGGCCCTTGTGCAGACACAGCAAAGGAATAGTTTCTTCTGGAAAAAATTAAAAATCCTGCTAGGTCCAGCTAGGTTTTTCAAAACGCATGTTGTCTGAAGTGTTGCCGATGCCTGGGCTCTGTCTAGGGGTACAAGGGGGTGCCCTGAAGGCTCATTGCTGAGCTGACTGCATGAACCGGCCTTGGTAGCAGAAAATGTCTCCCTACATTGACAGAGATTGAGCTCGCACAGCAATGCCAGCCTTCCATCTGGGTACAATTAATTGTACAGGTAGTGCTTCATAGATGTGCCCACAAAGCCGAAAAGTCTCAGAGGGCTGCCTGGTGGAGTAAGGTTGCAAAGCAAAGGCCTAAGCTTATTGTGACTAGAGCTACTCCCTTCAACTTATCTAAGGCTTTCTGCTGATACATGTAGCCATACTGAGATTTTGCTGACTCTGGAAGCAAGACTAACAGAAAAAATGTGTACAGTTTCATACTAGTCTAGTCGATGTTGTTGCCGGGAAAATGAGGGATAGTCAGGCCATAGGAGATAGGAATGACATTGTGTTCAGGAATTAGCTGTAAAGGGTGATGTTTTCTGCCGTTCAAGCAATCCATTCAGGTAGACAGAGCCAGAAAGCCTTGCAGGTCTATTACTTCCTCTTGTTAAAAATAAGTATGCAAAAGGCATATTCTTACACATCAAAGAGAGATGAAAGGTATTTTCTATTTATATCTATTTTTCATCAGCAGAAGAAATAAAAGTTTGCCAAAAAATGAAGTACTGTGGAAGAAAAAAACGCAACCTATCTCCAAACTCAAAAAAATCTTTGTGATTGGCTACTTCCATTTCTTCAGAATGAGCTCAGATCACCTTTTCCAGCTAAGTACTGAGAGGAAAGGAGAAGTGAAAGGTTTTTCTAATGTCTGCTCTAACTTCTGTAATTAATAGAAGGGATAATTTACTGGTTACTCAGCTGAATTATATACTAGCAAGAGCAACATAACATTAGTAACTTGGGAGGAGCAAGAAAGAGTTTGTACTTGGGTAAATGTTTATCTCCCAGCAAGAAACATCTGAGTCACCAAAACAAAAAAGTCAGTCACTTATACCAGGCAGCCAGGTGGCAGCTTTTGTCTCTTTGGTTTTTTGTTAAATAGCAAGATGAATTAAGGGGTGGTTGATCTCGTTAGATGTCTGTGGCTTTGGAAGGGTTGTGTCCCAATGTTTATATTAGTTCTGCTACTCATTTTATTAAACTTTGTTTATCTGGCAGGAAGAATGAGGCAGCATTTTACACATGTGGTGCCAGCTCTACAACTGCATCAAGTGGCAGAATAATCGGGCATTTGGGAGTAATTGCCTGGTTAGTTGTGCCAACTTTGTGGCAGACAAAACCACCAGAGTTCTGAGCAAATGGAAGCATATAAAATTCAGAAAGAGTATTTTTTCTTATGTTGCTCCCATCTTGAGTGACTGCACCTGGGCACTGGTCCACAGCAGCATCATTTTCACACTGGGCCACTGAGTCTGGCCCAGATGTGATAGATTTAAGGGATTGTGTGGATAGTCATTAAGGATAAATGTAGCAATCATAAGAAATGTGTTCTCTTACAGTAGCAAATTTTTGTTGCTATTTCTGTGTTGTTTAGGACAGAAAGACAGAAAAACAGTCCTGCACTGTTGGTTGGTTTACAGGATTATGCCATTACCTAGTAAACATGTTTTGGTGTTTTTTTTGTCCTAGGTGCTACAGGGACTACTAAAGATGTGTAAGTACTTACTCTTCTCTACTCTTTTAAATATATAACCCTGGACATATTTTCAGTCATACTAGCCTTATACTAGATTTAGTCATACATGATTAATCTGGCTTCTAACATATAATCAACACAACCAGATGTTTACTGTCTCTAGTGACAGCTTTCATCTCCACAAAACAACTCCTTGTCTTGTTTACTTTTCTACAGATTTCTTTGCTTGTTATTTCTCTAACAGAAATTTCTTTTCTCTGCTTCTGTTGAGACAGTTTTCTACCAGAGCTGGTTATGTTACTTCAGACTGCTTTTCCCCATCATGTGCCAGTGCACCTTTTTCCAAAGGCCATCTAATTGTATGAAGCCAGCACATACATTTCCACCAGGCCCAGTGAGAGATTTAGAAAGCCACTGAGATAAAATCCCTCTCTTTTGCATGAGACCCACTAACCTGTCCAACTTCCTTTTCAAAGTACCCACCTTCTCTAGGTATTCTCTGCATTAAAGATAGCATCTATTTGTTTGACACGGGGTAGCAGAGGCAGCCCTACCCATCCTGTTTTTCTCTAAATGTGCAAGATCTTTTTTACGGCTATACTTACTTGCTGATACAGGAATGCACAGGAACAGCTTTATTCAGCCATAAATGTATTTTTCTACCAAAGAAAACCATAAAGAATTCCTCCCCAAGGTCTTGCCTTCTCCTATTTCTTGTTACTTGTATTTGCCACTAGCTGGGAAAGATTGTTATGTTATGCAATAGGCACATCCTTCGGTGTTATTTACTTCGCTTAGAATAACTCCTCTAATTAGATGGAGGAATCCTTGTGTAGAAATGAAGGCAGTCAAGTCAGATAAACAAGTGGAGGGAAGAGCTTAACAACAGGCTTGTCCTTGCTATTACAGAGCAAGGACAAGAGAACTAACAACAGGTGTCACTTGGCTGATCAACACTGTTGCCACAGATACTCTTGACATCTGTCTTACCTCTGTAGTCTGTTTTCTGGGCTTGTAGTGCCAGACAATAAATTACAGAAGGGAATCTTATAAAGAACCTCTTCTTGATGCAGCCTGCAGCATCACTGCCCTCAGTACTCCTGTATTTACAAACACACTGGTTTAATTTATGGAAGGACCTTATTTATTGTTCAATTTAGACGATTTAAGGACTGACTTAGAACTGCATCTTTCTTTTTGCTCATCAGTAGTTTTAAATTTCAAAATCTCATGCACTGTTGAGTTATGAATGTTGTAAGCATGTTCCTGTGCTTAAAGGTATGGAATATGTAAACTGTGAGTATATGTAGAACTGTGTTTAACTGTGTGTAAGCCTTTTTAGAGCCTGGCTGCAGGAGTTAAAATGGGAACATCCTATTATTAGTGTGAGTTCATTTGTCATGTTTCAAAATAGTATCAAAATAACATAGAAAAAAATTAATTACTTGTGCAGTCTTCAACAAAGTGAAAGGGTCTATTCTGGAGCTATTTCTCATTCAGATTAGGGACAGTGGAGCCAACCAAACAACCCATATGAGTAATAGCATGGTTGAGCCTTCTATTTGGATGTTAGAAACACACACTTACTAAAGAGGAATGGCAGTGATGACCCAAAAGCCCTAATCAGGCATTCTAATACTTAACAGAAGATTTTTATGAAGGAGGTAAACTATCAGAAAAATTACTTTCATTTCATAGAAATGAAAAAAGCAGATTTGTATTAACTAATATTATAGATCCACAAAACTTTTTTTACACCTTTTTACTTTCATCAGCTAAAGTTTCTCTTTAAGTAACCCTTATCTTTTTCTTTTGCTGTCAAATTTCAGTCATAGCACTTTTGATCCAGAAAAACATTTAGGTGTGTCCATCCTTTCATGCTTTTGGATACCAAATCTGGTTATTCTAACATGAGGTTTCTCATTTCTTGACTGTGACTCATTGCCAAAGCACCATGACTCCTGGAGTGCACAGCCAAATGGAAGCGAAGAGGGCTGGATCCTGCTCGGGGCCCTCCTGGGTGACTGTGAGGAAGCTGCTTTGCCCTCTGGGCCTGGAGTTTCTCCATCAATTAGATAGGGGTGATGATATGATCTTCCTCTGAAAGGGTTCTTCCTCTCTGAGGGCTGTGTGGTGACAAGGACACATGCTCTGAGAGCATGTCTGCCCTCTGTGCTCCAACCCAGGATCTGCCAGCCAGCTTCAGCCCATACTCCTGCCCCATTAATCAAGAAACATTCATCACTGCTAATTGGGAAAGCCTAGCTGTAGGAGAAGTAAAGGATATGCTAGAAAGTAATGCAATGCCTGTGGTATTCAGTGTTTAGCTAAGTCTGGGGGAGGATTAGTTACACTAGGAAGGAAAGGATACAGCAGTTAAATTCCATTTCAAAATATTGAGAAGAAATGCATCAAATACAAATTAAAGGCACTTGTTCCCAAGAAACACCAAGAATCTGAGGAGTAGTTGTCTGTCACTTGTTCAAAGTTCAATGGATCATTATTAGTGGGACTACTGAACCCATGTAGAAAGAGTCTCTATAATGATCGGAACAAACAGAGCCATAAAAGCTGAGGTAAGAAAAATGTGGATGAAAAGAATTGGTGTGAATGCCTGTGTAATGGTTTAGGGCAAATTTGTTAAAGAATCTGCAAAGGAGGGCCCCTCCAGAAAGCAAAACCCACACGGCCCCTCCCCACAACCGGTTCGGGAAAAAATTCCTCGGAGAGAGGTGGAAAGAACCTGTTTATTTGACAGACACAGCCCCCCAGCACACAAAATGAACAATACCAGATGACACCGCTTTGCGAAAGATGACAAAATCAGAAAGTCTCTTTCGGGGGGGGGGTGGTTGCTCTGTTCTCAGTCCCTCCAGTGCTGGGGCAACTGCTGCAGCCAAACCTTGGTGTTCCCGGGTTCCAGTCTGGAGCAGGTTCGAGATGGTCACAGAAACAGGAGAGGAGAAAAGTCCAGGACGGAATGTGGACTGTTTGGCTAAACTAACTAATAAGCAGAGGCAAAGCAGAGCAGAAGCAGAAGCAAGAGCAGAAAAGCAAGCCAGCCAAGCAACAAGCTAGGCAAGAAGAGAGAAAAACAGCCCGATGTACGCTCTCTCTGGGTCCCTGATAAGAGAAACCCAAACAAAACTTCCACTCTTCAGAGCCGGTCTTAAAGGCACAGAACAGAGGAATGGGGATACAAACATCATATGTCACCCCAGGACAGCCTGTCATCTGACATTTAAAATATGTGAGAAATTACAGCTTCTTTTACCATCAAATGGACATAGGAATGATGGATGTAAAAGCTGACAGATGAACAAAGTGTGTTTTTCAGATTTTGGGTGACAGGATGACTCTTGGGACAGACAAAACCTTACCAAAAGAAACACTTATTGAGCTGTAAATATAATGCCATTTTGTGGATTTGCTCTTAAATCTGCCCACTGGCTCCATGACTCTGCCCATGCTACCTGCTGAGAACCATGCTCTCGGCTACTCTGCTCATGTCAACAGCATCTGAGGCAGCGACACAGCAGCCAGTCAGCACAAAGCTCCTTGAACTGTTAAGTTCCTTTTGCTTTCTATTCCTGGTGCAGAAAAGCTTATCCTAGCTTGCTGTCCCTGGAGGACTGCTGGACTCTTGTGTCCATGTGAGCCCAGGAGATGTGGCAATGGGAACAGTGCCGAAACCAAAGGAGCTTCTCTCCAGTCTCACTGCCATGTGGTTGAGCATTGCTGTTGTGGCTTTGCTCCATGGAGCCAGCCGTGTTCACTCAGCCTGGGCACAGAAGCAGCACCTGTCTCAGTGGCTCAGCAGACACTAAACATGCAAAATTAGTGGGCACCCTGCAAAAGGGGGTCTTGAGCCACCATTTGTGAAGGTGAGAGGTGTGTAGTAAATAAATGTGTAGTAAATAAACTGGGGCAGCATTCCTTCCTGAGCTCCCAGAAAGGTGTGTAAAATGGCTCATTCCTTAAGTGCCATCGTACAAATATTTCTTTCTTTTCCCTCTCACACTCCCATGTTACTCCTATCTCTGCTCATTCCCTCTTTTCTGGTAGGGCTACAACAGTTAGCCCCCATCATTGCCCAGCCCAAGAGCTGTTGTCTGTACAATCCCAGATTATTTTTTCTGTCATGCATTTGAAGAAAAAAGGTATTGCAAAATTACTGTTTTGATTTATAGCTAGTAAGAGGAAAGGAAGAAAGCAAAATGTTAAAAAACCTTCTTGTTTGCTCAATCATAAACCTGGATAATTTGTTTTCATGAGAGAATTACAGTAATAGTCTGTGATGCCATATTACAAAACATTTCTGGAGCAGAAGAAATTGGCCCTGTTTCCTACCAGGAAACATAAAAAAACCCAAAACAAAAACAACATTAATTTCCTGTTGGACAATACTGATTATTATTCTTACAACTCCATTTCAGAGGCTTCAAGCTGTGCCTGTAGTTTTTGGTGCCTTTAAACGACTCTTTTCTCTGGACAATGGTTAATCTGGATTATAGAAAATGTTCCAAATAATATGAGAAAATCAAGCCTGTGACACATTTAGTTGGTTCAACAGAAATGACTGTCTGTGATCTTTTGGGATCCAAAGTCCTTTTCCTTAAGTAGAATTTTTTTTCCACCTAAAAATACATCCTCATTTCCACCCACTGATATACACAGGCTTTCCATTTTCTTCAGGAGAAACTGGCCCACACTGTGACAGAACAGCTTCACGGTCCTCAAGTAAAAATGTCTCTGCATTCTCTGTCAGTGTGTGTGAAGACTGTAAGATGACTTAGGTGACTACACGGGGTCACAGGAGATGGGAAATGCCTTCTGACATGTCTCTGGTTCCTCCAGGAAGGGATGGCAGGAGGGCCAGGAAATGAGGAGTTTATTGATCAGTCTTTCTTGAGTGGTAAGACGTAGACAAAGACAGCAGACGAGGAGTGCTATGTCCTGCATAAATATAATTTAGCAAAATTGAAGAATAATAAGATTTTCTCCAAGCCTCAACTATTAAGGGACCTGTGTACCCTTACTCACTGTGATGATGCAGAAAGGATAGTTGGTAATGTCCCTTAGGAAGAAGGTAGATGCCAGAAAATTTCCAAGCTGTAGCAGTAGTTTAAGGCATTTGCTCCCCTCCCAGGAGGTTTAAGGGCATTTTCTTGCACTTAAGACTGCATCTTGCTCTGAGCCCTCTGCTCTTCAGGCCACAATCCCATTGACTTCAGGGCCCTGTAAGGGCGTAGAGCCCCAGCAATTAAACAGCAGGCACATCAACCTTTTAGAGTAAATAAATTGGTCGGAGACCCAGCTGAAGTGCATCTGCTGCCCCATCCTTACCCAGTCATGGAAGTAGAGCTCAGAATCTGAATATTTAAGCGAAGGTGGGTGAGTAATTTGTATGATGACTGATGTTGGGACACAGACTGAGACTGCAGCACAGGCATTGCACACTGAAGGAGTAAGAATAAATTATTTTAATTTTTTGTATTACCTTTGCCTTCATGTCAGTGCTGGTTACTTTAACCCCTGCTCCCGTTCAGCTGCATTGTACTACACAGTACAGTGCATAGAACTGACAGAGTTTTTTGAACAATGACCTGTAACTATTGTCAGATGTGACTCATACCCTTTTCACTGACTGGGCCTTTGTTGTGGTGTGTTGCAATGTCCTGTTTTAAACTTCCGAGTCCCTTCCCAGGTGTGCTTATGCCTCTCTCCCTGCCCCCTCGCCCCCTTGCTGAGTGTGCCCTGTCAATCAGGCTAACATACCAGCAAGGCGTCGTGTGATTCGTCGATTTCAAAGGATGCT